AGGAGTCGCTGACCACGGCTGAGCCCACTCCAGAGAACACCCCGGCCCCAGCTCCAGCCCTAGCCCCAGGCTCAGCCTTGGTGGCACCAAAAGAAAGGTAGGACCCGAGGAGTACAAACAGCTCCTCTCCTGGCCTCGCAGAATTTAGGAAGGCTCATTCTAGGTATTTTTCATCTGAAAGACCTGTCTCCCAGTTCTCAGGCAGGGACCCGGGGTGGTGCCGTGTTCACCCTGAGATGCGGCTCCTTGGTCCTTGCACCTAACTGAGCACCTACTGTGTGCCAGGTGCTGTTTCAGGCCCCAAAGACTTAGGGAGGTGGGAGGTGGCTGTTTGGGAATTTGTAAACACCTTCAAACTTCTGGATTCCTTCAGCCTAGAAGGCCTTCACAGGGTGATGTTGCCTCTTACCAAGCAGGAATTACTCAGTGTCCCACAGACTTTGGGGCCCATGCTGGATTTCCTCTGATGAGCCAGGCAAACAAGTACTGTCCTTTGAGCTGGCATTGCAGGGTTTTGGAGAGTCCAACATGACTCCAGAGCTATCTGGAATGCCAGAGAACAGGAGGCATCCTGTGGGAGGCTGAGGCAGGATGCAGGCTGAGTGGAGAGCCACAGGAAAGGCCTCCCTCTAGGAGGTGACCAAGCCTGTTCCCAAGCGTCTCCTTTCCTCTCCCCTCACAGGGCAGAGTCTGAAGTGCCACCCAAGCCGGTCTCACCTATGATCAACAAGAGCCCCTCAGAGCCGGCCCCAGCAGAGGACACAGCCCGGAGAAGTGAGTTGGCTGTGGGACCAGAGGAGGGGACAGGGTGGGTGGGAAGCAGGGGCGGGGGATCTCAAGCCACCCATCCTTGTGGACCATCAGAGAAGGCCACAGACAGAGGTCGTCAGAAGCCCAGACTTTGCCGCCTGGCACTGTGGTTCAGGTTCAGCTCTGACTGTGGGCAGGTTACGTCACCAGTCTGGATCTCAGCTCCCTCCCCTGTCCGGAAAGGCTGTGTGGAGAGGGACTAGCTGTGGGGAGAGGGTACAACCCTGGGGCCAGAGGAGAAAAAGCCTGGGAGTCCCTTTTCGAAGAAGCCCAGAGGTCACAGAGGGCTGAGGGGACAGGAAGAGGTGAGGGCAGGGAAGAGGTGAGGGGCAGGGAGTCCTCACCAGCATGACTGGCACCCTTGGGAGGCCCCACCAGCCTCGGGCCCCTGGGGTTGCCCCCGGGGTGGCCGCACAGGGAGCTGCCTGGAGGAGGCGGGCAGGGGATTCACTCTCACAGCACAATCACAGCGTCACTTGACTGGGTCCTCACACCAGCTAGGGGAGCTCGAGGCTCTCACCCCATCTTACCAGTGAGGCAAGGGAATCACCCCAGATCTCCCGCCAGCAAAGTTAGGGCCCGAGTCCAGACCTCGGCTGCCTCATGGGTCTCTGGGAGCTGGGATGGGGTAGCTCCAGTGGGCTTCTGAAAGGGACACCACCCAGGTGTCCGCAGGGACAAGCTCTACCTGTTTTTCAAGCCTGTAGAGGTACCTACTGCACACCCAGCGCGGGCCAGGCAGCCACACACATGTTGGCGCCACGCGCTTTCTGTCATCGTGAGGGAGACAAGCAGTGACCAAGTAAGAGCAAATTAGTGTGGTCACTTCAGAGGACAAGTCCTGTAAAGAGAAGGGGTTGGGTATGGTGGTGCTGGTGTAATCCCAGCACTTAGGAGGCTGAGACAGGGAGGTGGTTTCAAGTTCAGGACCATTCTAGGCTACAGGGTGAGCTCAAGGTTAGCCTGAACTGCATAGTGAGATCTTGTCTCAAAAAGACCGCAAACGGGCTAGGGATATAGCTTAGTGACAAAGTGTCTGCCTGGCAAGGGTGAAGTCCTGAATTGGACTCCTAAAAAAGACAAAAAACAACAGTAGTGAGGTGGCTGGGGAGGTGTTTAGGGGGTTAAGCTACTAACGGAGACCTGATGAGTGGCTGGCTGTGACAAGGGTCTGCTACAGAAGAGACAGTTTATGCAAAGGTCCTGGTGTGGCGCCCCGCTCGGATGTACCACAGGTTTCTGGTGTTTAAACTCCCCATTTTTCTTCCTCCACAGCCAAGCGCCCTGCACCAGCCCGGCCCACCATGCCACCCCCTCAGCTCTCCAGCACCCGTTCCTCTCCTCCAGTCCCACCCGCACCCCCTGGCAGCCCTGTGATCCCCCAGGCTCTGCCACGCCGTATGGTAGGCAGCAGCCTCCGGGCCCCCACAGTGCCACCCCCGTTGCCACCCGTTCCCCCTCAGCCTGCCCGACGCCAGAGCCGACGTTCACCAGCCTCCCCCGCCCCAGCCTCCCCTGGCCCAGGCTGCTCGAGTTCACCCACGCAGGTGGAAGCACAGAGAGTGCTCACAGAGGATGGGGGGCCCCCTGAGGCTGTAGGTGGGGTCCCCACTTCCCAAGCTGTGCCCCCTCAGCCCCGGCCCAGGGGCCTAGCCTCCGAGACCAACTGAGCACAAGGCTCCGCCCCTGACTGGCCCTCAGTGTCCCCATCCTCTGGGGCAGCCCTCACTCCGCCCAGGGGATGGGGGCCCCAGCCTTTGCCCACAAGTGCCTCAGTGCCTGCAGTGTCGGCCACCACGGCCAGGAGGGCTCCGGACAGCTCTCCACTTCCTGCCCGTTTTCTTTGCTGCCCTGAGCTTGGGGTCCCCTCCTCTCTCCACTCTCTGGCAGGGTCCCAGGGAAGCCACCAGAAGGAAGGACAGGTTTGCCTGCACCTACAAGACTTATTTTGCTCTTGCCAACGTTTTTGTAAGGCTGGTAAATAAATTATTTTGGACAAAACTGGAGCATCTGCCCAAATGATAGTTTTATTTTCTGTCCTCGAAATAAAGAAGCCACGTTCATAAAGGGAAAGATTGCATACTCTTTGCCTCCTTTCTTTGGGTCTGAAATGCAGACAGTCAGTGCTCATGGAAATTTCTCCGAGCTGCACCCTGCGCCTTCCTCCCAGGGAGGTGACTCCCAGCAGCACTTGCAGGTGCGGGATGGGGCTGCTGAGGTCGCAGTGAACACGGCCTGGTACGAGGAGCTCAGGCTGACGATTCCAGAGACACCCTGAGAGGTCTGCTTAGCTCCTTAGTTTCCCAGTTTCCTCATCTGACATCCACTCTAACAACCTCACCCCTGGGTCCTGAGGGCCCAGTGAGGCTGTCCTGTAAGTATCAAAGTGCCACTTGGAGCACAGAAGCCCAGGAAGCTTGGCAGCTGCTGTCTCTATTTTCCTGCCCCATGGCCTTCTGGGAGCAGGCAGAGAAGGCTCAGGAGCAGGAATGGATGGATCTGTCCTGTGAGGCTGCTCTGGGCCAGCTCCTGAGCTCAGCCCTACATCCATCCCTAGGGCTTCTGAAAACAGGCAGAAGTTACAGTCAAGCATCAGGGTGCTGCAAGCCCACACTCAGCCTGGATAGGGGTGAGCCACTGGCTTAGTCACCTTCTCACTGCTGGGACAGAATATCCGACATCCAGAATTTGAGGTTTATTTTGGCTCACATTTCTAGTCTATAGTTTGCTGGCTCCAAGCAGGACAGCAGGGGGACGTGGCAGAGGGAAAGCTGCCCGGCAGCCCAGAGGCAGAGTGAAGGAGGAACCAGGCAGGGAGATAAAAGCTTCCAGGTCATGCCCTCCTCCAACCAGATCCTGCCACCTAACCACAATCAGTTATAATCCATCATCTTCCAAAAGGCCAGCCAGTGAGCCCATGACTGTCTTATGGGACATCTAGACATAAACCATAACAACCACCTAAAAGTCCCTGGTGTGTGTTTCAGGAGAGGTTAGGCAAGAAAGGTTTCCTGGAGCTAGTGATGTGTAAGAAGTAAAAAAAGAGGAAAAAGCAAGAAACTTTCAGGCCAACGGAACCACCTCTGCAAAGGCCAGGAACAAAAGTCATCGGGGGTGGGGGGCCCTGGGAAAAGGGAAAGTACTGAGGTCTCAAGGTATGTGTACCCCCATCCTCCACTTCTAATGCTACCTTGCAGGTGCAACTGCTCTGTGGGGAAGGAGCCAGACTCTGCAGAACCTTCTTTGAGTTTCATTCTTGCTCCCCATACTTTAAAGTCCTGGCTTCTCAAAGGTTCTAAGACCTGCAGTTTCCTCATCAGAAGCTCTCCTCCCCAAAATGGCGACCCAGGCAGTTGGGTCACCCCATCACTGCCCTGGAGGACTGGTCTAGACAACCACAAAACCACCCCCCAATAGGTCAAACTCTGAGCAGCCAGTTACACATCCGGGTCCTAAAAAAGCATTTGTCAAAAGTCATCGAACTGTAACCTGAAGATCTACACATCTTTATGTAAATGATCTCAAATATAACTGCCCCAGGGGACTCTGCTGCACACGCATTGTGGAGAGCCACTAGCTCAAGACCAAGGGACGCCCCTCTCGTCCGACATCTTTTCAGGACCTGGCTCAGAACTGGAGCGTGCACGGTTCAGAGGCCAGATTAGACCCCGCGGGAAGGCAAGGTGAAGTGAACAGGGTTAAAATGTGTCATGTGAATGAACCAGCTCCCTGAGATGAATGTCACTATCACGTACTGCAAACAAGTACTAATACAAATTAAAACAATAAATTAAAAAAACAAAGAGTTGACCCAAAGATACCGCTCTTAGCCTACGTTTTTCTCATAGCAACCAGCTCTCCTAAGCGTCTGATTGGCTGAGGGGCCCGAGGCTAGTCACATTTTCTAGTCCTAGCTCCTTATTGGTTACAAAGGACGTCAGTCTCCCAAGCAACAGGGTAGAAGGAGTGGCAACTTGGTGACGATTGGTCCAGTAGGCTAAAAGGCGGGGCTAAAGGAGGCTGGTTCCTCATTGGTCTCCACCCTCAGCCACGATTCCCGCCCCTTTCTCTAAACTCCTTTGGTTCTCCCCTCCGTTCTTCTCCTACCCTCTTGCTCCCATTGGCCGCGGTCCAGCCCCCCCATGGTCCCGCCCCCTGCCCGTTCGGAGAGCCGATTGGCCCTGCAGGACGCGCCCAAGCGAGCGCGCCGTGCCCGCGGAGGGAGAGCGACGCGCGCGTGCGGGCGTGCGGGCGGCCAGCCGGCTGTATGGCGCGCTGCGAGCCGCTGCGTGGCGCGACCCTGCGCGACCTACTGGGCCGCACGCAGGGGGTCCTGTTCGACTGCGACGGGGTACTGTGGAACGGCGAGCGCGTGGTGCCCGGCGCCGCGGAGCTGGTGGAGCGGCTGGCGCGGGCGGGCAAGCAGACGCTGTTCGTGAGCAACAACAGCCGGCGCGCGCGGCCCGAGCTGGCCCAGCGCTTCGCGCGCCTGGGCTTCGGGGGGCTGCGCGCCGAGCAGCTCTTCAGCTCCGCGCTATGCGCCGCGCGCCTGCTGCGCCAGCGCCTGACCGGGCCGCCCGACGCGCAGGGCACCGTGTTCGTACTGGGCGGGGAGGGCCTGTGCGCCGAGCTGCGCGCCGCGGGGCTGCGCCTGGCGGGGGACCCCGGCGTCGCCCCGCGCGTGCGCGCCGTGCTTGTGGGCTACGACGAGCAGTTCTCCTTCGCCAAGCTGAGAGAGGCTTGCGCGCACCTGCGCGATCCCGACTGCCTCCTGGTGGCTACCGACCGCGACCCTTGGCACCCGCTTAGCGACGGCAGCCGGACCCCCGGTGAGCGTGGATGGGAGGGAGAGAAGCGCGGGGGGGGAGGGTAGGGTGCACCTGCACCGTGGTTGCCACCTACAGGGATCGGGAGGGATGCGAGGGACACCGTCATGTCTTGTCGTTGCTGTGGTTGTCACTTGTGAGGGGCAGTGGCGTGGTCCCCGTTTGACAGAGGAGTAAACCAAGGCCGTTGTAGCTGTGGGAGTTGCGGGTAGAATCCAGGTCTCCTACTGCACTCCTGACATCTTGCCCCGCCCACCATAGCCTGAGAAGCCTGGAAGGACTGTCCCGTGGTGGGGGGCGTGGGGGTGGGACCGGCGTTCCAGAGGTCATGGTGGACAGGTCTGGGGGGGGGCAGGTGGAGAGTGACCTGCATTCCAGTTCCAGCCCCTTGCGGGCAGCATTTGGATTACATAACCTGCAGGCCTGTGCTCCTGGGATGCTCACTAGCCAGCTCTGCTGGAGGGACAGTGAACAGGGATTTTGTGATTTGTGACACAGTGAATGTTCAGCTGTGTGAGTTTAGGGGGCCCCCCCAGGTATAGAGTGTCACAAAGCACCTTGCTGTCTGTTCTTTCTTCGTTTCCAAGATAATGCAGATGAGAGCTAGGTGGGGTGGCATACACCTGTAATCCCGACATTCAGGAGGCTGAGGCAGGAGGATCGATGAGTTCAAGGCCAGCCTGCACTGTGTAGTGAGACCTTTGTCACAATAAACACATTACTCTGCCACCCTGCAAGGGAGGCAGGGCTCAAGTTAGATAAGAACAGAGACAGCGGGCAACGGGGCAGCGGGACACAGATAGATCCCTGTCACTGTTGTCTGCTGGCCCCAGCTCCATCATTGCTGCCACATGGGGGAGGGGAGAGGTGATATGGAATGTAGTACAGTAGACCCAAGATAGTGTAGGGTGTTGGGGAGGGCCTCGTGCCCAGAGCATCTGGGAAGGCTTCCTGGGTGAGGTGCAGGTCAAGGTGACAGTAAGTTGAGGGGTCATAGACACAAGGTTAACAACAGTGGCAGGCAAGGGCCCGTCCTGGCTCTTTGCTTTAGACCTACTCGCCACCTGACCACACCAGCCTCAGTTTCCCCATAAATCGTAAGAGAAGGGTTCTGGTCAGCTCTATGCTGTGGCCAAGTATAGTGACTCACCTGTGATCCCAACACCAAGGAGGCTGAGGCAGGAGGATCGCCACAAGTTTGAGGCCAGCTTGGACTACACAGTGAGGTCTGTCTCAACAAAAAGAAGTGCTGGGGATTTAGCTCAGTGGCACAAGTCCCTAGTGGCACAAGTGGCAAGCATGAGTTTGTTTGAACCTCGGTACAAAAAAAAAGGAAACAAAAATAGAAGATCTGTTGATGAAAAGTTTTTCCTGGAAGATCTCAAAGCTTGGGTTAAGGCTGTGGAGTAAGAGACTCCCCCCGGCTCAGAATGCACGGTGTGAGGAACTGGGGAGAGATCTGTGTGGATCCCGACCCCACAGTCCTGGTCCCCACCCGGCTGCCCCTCCACCCTGCCAGTCACTCCGAAGCCGCAGCCGGGAGAGGGAGGCAGACGCTTGAGGAATGCCTTGCTGCAGGCTCAGGTGCATTTGGGCACGACTCACTGTTGCAGCTTTGAACTGGTGATGGGAGAATAAAAAGCCCCGCCAGCCTAAGATCAGAAAGTGCGAATCTGTCAGCCTGCCCTCCCCTCCTGAACAGTGTCTGCCGGGTGCCACACAGCAGCCCTGAGCCCGGAGCAGAGGGAGTAGGAACGTCCCTGTCTTAGGACCATGTTATCAGCGTGGTGTGTCGGGCTCGGCTGGGAGTTTTCACTGCCTTGGCTGCTCTGCCCTGCACAGCTGGCATACAGTTGGGCCTCAGTTGCAGCTGAATGAAGAAAGTGAGAGTTGGGGATGTCCCACCCCATCCTGAGTCCTCTGTCCATCTGCTGGGCCGCAGAGCTGGGGCCTCGGGGAAGCAAAGAAAAACATTTAGCTGTCCCCACAGCACTCAGTGGAGAGGACCTCATCCTAGAAAGAGTCTAGCCAGGGGGCAAACAGTCCTTCCCTTCTTTCTCTTTTCTTTTCTTTCGTTACTTTTTTTTTTTTTTTTTTTTTTTTTTTTTTTTTTTTTTTTTTGGTACTGAGAATCCAACTCAGGACTCTGTGCTTGCCAGGCAGGCGCTTGGGCCACTGAGCAACATGCCAGCCCCCTTGCATGAGTTTTAGGCACACAAACAGGTGGGTGTGGTTCAGAGGGAGAACTCTTGTTTAGTGGTCCTAGGTTCAGTTCCCAGCACCAAAAACGAAACACCAGTGGTGACGGGCCTGGTGATTCAGGCCTGAATCCCAGCATTCTAGAAGGCTGAGGTGGGAGCATCCCAAGTTTAAGCCCATCCTGGGGCGATTTAGCAATCTCAGAAATAAAAAAAGGCCTGAGATGTAGCTCACTGCAGAGGCACTGGGTTTATTCCTCTGTACAAACAAACTAAAACCCAGGCACGGTGGTACAGGGCTGTAATCTTAGCTCCTGCCTTTAGGGGGCCAACTAGGCTGGAGGATGGTAAATTGGAGACTAGTCCTGGCAACTGGGTGGGAACTTACTTTAAAATAAAATTGTGTGGAAGGCAGGGGGCGGCTGGGGCTGTGGCCGGATATATACTAGAGCGTTTATCGAGGGCGCGAGGCCCTGACTTCGCCTTGCAGTGCCAGATGAGGGGTGCAGTAGGCGGCTGAGCTTCCCAGGCTGCCTCCCCCCCCCCCCCCCCGCCCATGACCTGTGGTGAGCCCAGGTCTTGTGGCGCTGGGGAAATTTCTTGTTATTGGGCGGGGGGCAGAAAGATTCTCATCCCCACTGATCCTCTTTTGGGCTTTTGGCTTCACGAGCTGAGCATCATGGGATGTGAGAAGGGCGAGAGGAGGCCCAGAGTGTTAGGGACCGGTCAGGGTCTGGCCGCTGGTGTTCCCAGAGATAGTACCATCCAGGACTCAAGGCCGTTGTGGCCAGGTGGAGCTACAGGCAGGATGCACTTCTGGCCTCGCAGGTGGAAGTGACCTCCAGGGCATCATAAAGTTTGGTACAGGAGTTAGGCTGTCCTGAGGGTTGAGTATCTGTTGCCTCTGTTTAATTGTAAATTTACAAGCTGACATTAGTAGCTCCCTTTAGTCGCCAGTTTACAAAGTCAGGCACAGCGCCAGGGATTTATCTCAAGCAGCTTGCGCCTGCCTGGCAAGCTCAAGGTCGTGAGTTCAATCCCTGGTACCACCAAAAAAAAAGAGTCAGGCACAGCACGCAGGCCTAGGGAGGCTGAGGCAGGAAGATCCACATGAGTTTAATAATGAGCTCAAGGCCAGCCTGAACTGCATAGTGAGAACTCTTTTAAAAAAAAAAACCAGCTCACAGAATTCTCGAAGGTGAGAGTTCACTCTCCCAGTCTGCCTAACCTACCACTGAGTTACACTGACCTAAGCTCTGTTTTTTTCTTTTCTATTTTGAGACGGGTCACTATGTAGTCCCGACCAGCCTCATTCCCACCCTCTTGGCCTCAGCCTCCTGAATGCTAGGATTGCAGGAGCAGCCCACCACGCCCAGCTTTGGATGCAGATTCATTTGCTGCTCTTTAACAGGCAACCCAGGGCAGATTACTTAAGGTTACTGGCCTCTGCTTTCTCATCTGTAAAATGGGCTTCTGTGAGCACCTAGCACAGCCCATGGCCATGCAGAATGGCTTAGGAAGCTTAGGTGCTGCTCATCATCTTCCAGCTGGGGAAGACAGAATGTTCTGGGGCGGTCGTGCCCATGGTACCAGCACAGTGGGTTCACTGTTCCAGCAGGTGGTGCTGGCGGGACACAGGACCGTCCGGTTGCAAACAGTCCTCTCATTGTTAAGACCCTTGGGCGCCGCAGTGGCTTTCTCGTGCCCAGCCAGAATTCTCTTGCAGTTGCTTTCACCGCGGAGGCCTACTGGGTCAGAGGTGTGAATATTTCTGTGCCCTGCTGCATTCCAGAGGGGCAGTGCCAGCTCTCGATGCCAAGGGTACAGCTTCTGTAGCAATAACCACAATTACTCTCTGCTAAGTGCTTGTCTGTTTACAAAGCCCAGGCCCCATGATGCCTAGAGTGCCCCTTTGAGGATGGGTGTTGGCTGAATCCGTGTTTGGCAGAGTCCAGGGAAACTCGGAGAGGGTGAGCGGCTTGCCTGAGGACACACAGCTGCCAGAGTAGAGTCCAGCTGAGGGCCTCACCTGCCCTGTTAACGTACAGGGACTCACTGATCCTTGCCGTAACCACAGGAGGCAGGTGCCATGGGTAGCTCCATGGTAGAAATGGAGAAACTGAGGCACTGGCGGTTAATCAGCCTGCCCAAGAAAGTGGGGATGGAGTCTGAACCAGGGATCTGATGCCGGGCCTGTCCCCTTGACTGCTGCCCTGAGATGGAACCAAGCCTTGGGCTCATGTGGTGCCCAGCCTTAGGTGCCCTGGAGACCCAGTTCTGGGGGTGGATGCTGTCACAGCCACCTTCCTGCTGACCGCTCTCTGTCTCCCTGCAGGCACAGGGAGCCTGGCCGCTGCAGTGGAGACGGCCTCCGGCCGCGAGGCGCTGGTGGTGGGCAAGCCCAGCCCCTACATGTTCGAGTGCATCACGGAGCACTTCAGCGTGGACCCCGCCCGCACACTCATGGTGGGCGACCGCCTGGAGACCGACATCCTCTTCGGCCACCGCTGCGGCATGACCTCCGTGCTCACGCTCACGGGCGTGTCCTGCCTGGAGGAGGCCCAGGCCTACCTGGCAGCTGGCAAGCATGACCTGGTGCCCCATTACTATGTGGAGAGCATCACAGACTTGATAGGGGGACTGGAGGACTGAGCCACCTGGCCCGCAGCATGGCCCCAGCCTCCTGACCCCCAGTCCTACTGATGGAAGTGCGGTGGTGAGTCTCGCCAAACACTGCAGGCTCCCTCGCCTCGGTCTCTGTCCTGGTGGAGCTGCCGAGCAGGAAGGTGTGAGGACCTCCGTGCCCCTCCCAGCAGTGGCTGGGCACTCTGCTGTTCCGGAAGCTGCCCCTGCAGCTTGGAGGGTCACCCCGGCCTGACCCAGCCCCGGTGGCCTTGTTTCCTGCCTTGTCGCCTTCCCTGCCTGAATATGGGTTTTGATGCCAACTGAAGATTTCCCCGTCTGGGCATTTGATCCCTCCCCTTCCTGGGAACCCCTGAGTCCTGCCTGCCCCAGGGTCCTGGCCTTTGGCATCCTTTTGGCCTATCAGAGGCCGAGGTAGCCACTGTCCCGAGTGGACCAGTTGAGACTAAGTGGCAGTGGCTTGCTGAGGCCACATCCTGAGAGGACCAATAGAAGCTAAGGAACAACGACCCTTGCATGTCCTAGGTCCTGGGTGGACCCATCCGGACACCAGGTATTCCTGACCCACTGGTCTCTTAGATTCCAAACAGAACAGTTCAGGAGTCCGAGCACAGTGGCCTCTGGACAGTCTGGGTCCCACTAGACCAGCTAGGGCTGGGTGTAGAGACATCCTCCTCCCTGGAGATGTGGCCCATGTGCTCGTCGGCCCTGGGCCTGCGGTGGCCAGAGCCCACCCTCCCTGATCACAGTCCTGTCCAGTGTTGTTGGCCACAGCCCAGAAGGGGCTTTGGTCCCCACGTAGCTAGTGTTGGCTGTGCCACTTTGCCACCTCCTCTCCCGACTCCCAGCTATTTATTTATTCTTTTGTTTATTTGTTCTTGTGTGCCAGGGACGTGGGGCTTGGGGCTGGGCCTCCTCGCCACCTCCACCCGCTGTAAGCAGTCCTCCGTGCTGAGTAAAGTGCGAGTGGCGTGCATTGTGTCTCCGCGTCTGGCCGGGAGGGGACTCGCAGCCACCCGAGACGTCCTCAGGGGATGTGATCCAGCCTACCGTGCTTCAGTGCCGCGTCTGTCCATTGGCAACCCTCCCCTGCCGATTTGCTTAGTCCTTGGGAAACTCCAGCAGGTTCAGTCACTCGTCCTGCTGTATGAGGTCGGAACAAAGGAGTACAGCAAATGTTTAAGATTTTTTTATTAGCATAAAGCACACTGCAGTCACGTCCCTCGGCATCCGCCCCTCACTTCACTCCTGTACCAACACTCCTGGTACCTGCCCAGGTCCGGAGTCCTCTCTCATGAGTGTGTTTAGTTGCATACTGGTAGCTCCCTTGATGTCTTGATTTAAAACCTTTACTTTTCTTGGTCATTCTGACTTCGGAGAAGAACCAGAAGTCACACCGTGCCAGATTCAGTGAATAAGATGAATGGATTCAGGATATACTAAGGCCAGGCAGTCACAGGACAGAGGCCAGGCTGCCTTACACAGCAGGACCCTGTCTCAATCCCCTGACCCAGGAAAAAATGATACAGTGAGCCAGGCACAGTGCACACACCTGTAATCCCAGCACTCCAGAGGCTGAGGCAGAAGGGTTGCCCTGAGCTCAAGGCCAGCCTGGACTACAGAGTAAGACTCCTCAGCAAACAGAAAAAGAATACAGTGAACATGTGGGTCTCCTTTCCCACGTCTCAGCAGTTAGTATTTGCAGTAAGGTCATCAGCTTCTGATATAAACATGGGCCATGTGGAAGCCTGTAACAGGCTCACATAGTTCACCCCCAGATCCTCAGCTTGTGACTGCACAGCCACAAACCGTGGTTCCCAAGAACCAGGATCTTTATGATCCACACTTTCATGACCACTGAATTGCCCTGCCATGGAAACCCCATAGCTCCAGACTTCTTAGGTGAAAGCTTTCCTTTCTTTTTGATTTTTTGTTTTTCGGTTGTGCTGGGGTGGACCTAGGGCCTCACACATGCTAGGCAAGCGCCCTACCCCGAGCTACCAAATCAGATTGAGTGGTTAGGTTCAGTGTTGACCTTATGGGGAAATTTAATTCGGTTCTCATTCATTTTGTGACTGGAATAGTAGTTTGTGAACCGAGGCACTGCTGTACTAACTTAACCAGGCTGGCTTTGAACTCGCAGTCCTCCTGCCTCGGCCTCCGGAGTAGCGGAGATCCCAGCATGCGCTAGGAACCCTTATTAGTTTTCCTGCATTTTAAAGCAGTTTCTGTGGAGTTTTTAAGACAAACTGTCTTAAAATGCATGCATTGGGCACAGCATGGAAAACACTTCAAAGGGAGAAGGCCGGGCTGGAGCCCAGGCAGGGCCTGCTGTGCACAGAGCCCTGGGTTCAGTCCTGGTGCTGCAAACAGCAACAGAAACACCAAGCCGCTGGGCTGGGGAATACAGCTCAGGGACACAAGTGTCTGCCTGGCAAGCGCAAAGTTGTAAATTCGATCCTGGTACCAAAAAACACCAAACTGCACCCTTCCTGCATTAAACACATGATCTTGAGCTTGCCAGGCAGGCACTTAATGCTGCTACGCTAAATCCCCAGGCCTATAATGTTTTAAATTGATACTTACAGGCCTCTGTCCCTCTGGCTGCAGGGGAGCCCATTGCTTCTCAGCCAAGGTTAGAGGCCAAATCAGCCCCAGGGGAGCATGGACAGCACCGGCACTAGTGGGCACCCTTGTCTGCCTGCCTCCGCCACGTGTGGTGGCAGGGAACTGGCTGCAGCAGACACGTGAGCCCTAAGCCGGACGGGGCCTCCCTGTAGCCCCTGCCTCCTGGGGCCCTACTCCTGGCCTGGTCTGCCCCCAGGAACATGCATGCACACAGGCTGTGAGGGTCTTGCACGGGCTCAGGTGACGGGATGTGCAGAGGAAGAGCCGCGAGTGGATGCTGGAGAAGCTGTACCGGCCGTGCAGCAGAGCAGGAAAGTCCAGCCTGATGCCCAGTACACCGGCCGCAAGCGCAGGCCTGGCTTCTGAGCCCCGTGCCTGCCTCCGCCATCTTTTCTGGCTTGACTGACAACGCAGTGTTTAGAAAACTCCTGCAGTTACAGGAATTTTTTTGGTACGGGGGATCGAACTCGTGACCTCGAGTTGCCAGGCAGGCTTTCATGCCGCTGAGCTAAATCCCCAGCCCCAAAGAAATTATCACAATGCAGGAACATTCTGGGAAGGAGGGGAGGAGGGGCTTTGTGCAGCACAAATTGAAGCTGAAAGCGTCCTTAACTGGGCATTCTGTCTCGGGTCCAAAGTCCTTGAGGCAAGCTAGAAAACATTAAGTATAAAAACACAGAAATGGTTGCTGGACAGAGTTACATTGCCCCAGCTCCCTGTCTGGAAAAGCAGCTGGACACAGATTCAAGGACAACTATGTGACAAGAAGCAGGAGTATAATCAGAAGATAGCAACTGATTTTTAGCCTGTGCTATAGAACATCTATACAGTGATTATAAATCTGTTAATCCATAACTTTGCTCTTAACAGTTCCTCTTACCATCTGCAAAAGATACATTGTTTGCGGGAGGCTGAAGTGGGAGGATCGTTCTATTTCCTATTATCTATCTTGTACTTTACTTTTTTTTCTTTTTTGGGGGGTGGTGGTGGTTAACAATCGAACTCACAACCTCATCCTTGCCAGGCAAGTGCTTGTGCTGCTGAGCTATATCCCCAGCCTTGTATTTTGCTCTTTAAGTTACTTACACTTGCTGGAAATGCAGCTCAGCAGTGTAAGCATCTGCTTGGCAACCATAAGGTTATGAGTTTGATGCCTGGTACCAAAAAAAAACAAAGTCACTTAGGCTTTGAGCTTCTCAGATAAGACAGCCATGTAATATTTATGCTTGTATTATTTATTTCACTTAATATTATGGTCTCAAGGTATATTCATTTTCCTGCAAGTTACTCAAATTTATCCCTTAGAGCAGAGTAGTGCTCCATTTGTATAAATACCAACGGGTCTTTTTTATCCACTCACCTGTTGATAGGCTGTTTCCAAGAATTAGCTGTTATAAATTCAGTTGCTATAAACATGGGCATATCCCTGTAATATGAATCTTTAACTGTTTTGGAAAAATACTCCGAAATCGGTACCAGGGATCGAGCTCACGACTGCCTGCTTGCAAGGCAGGCGCTTATGCCGCTGAGCTAAATCCCCAGCCCGATGATGGTGATTCTTTTTGGAGTAAGATAGAATCTCAGTATTGTTTTAATTTGCATTTCTCTAATGGCCAAAGATGATGAACAATTTTTCATATTTTTATTGGCCATTTGTAGGAAACAAAGTAAGAAAAACTCGAGCTGGCTGCAGTGGCACATGCCCAGAGTCTCAGCCTGGGAGCTGAGGCAAAAGGGTCATGTTTGAGGCCACCCCAGACCACACAGTGCAACCCTGTCTCAAAACAAAACCAAACAAACACAAAGTTTTCAAATGTAATGAAATTTTTACGACTATCCTTAAGCACAGTAAACATTTACTAATTTCGGCTTTGCTGCATTAGAAGACAGAATATAAGGTAAAGTGGTCTTTATTTTAAGAATGCAGACGGAGAACCGCACCACCGCCACCACTGAGGTCTGGCTTTCTCTCTGCCCGACACGTGGTGTGGGGGCATCCATAGAGCTTAGGTTTGGGGTGGAGCCTAAGGGGCACTACGGATGCACTTGTAGCTCTTTGGAATTCATTTCCTGCCAGAGGTAAATTGCTTAGAGGCGGGGAAGGTGACCTTCGGCCTCCCAGCCTCCCACCGCTGCAGCGTCCCCTTTAGGGCAAAAGCCTTTCAGAACCAACTCAAGATTTTTTAAGTCTCCAATATTTTCTGAGCTCTTCAAAAGCTCTTAGCTTCCCGTGAGTCTATAATTTCGAAATAAAGTATTTTTTAAAATGTAAAAGGCTCAGCTTGAGCCCTGGAGAGCTGAGGGCTAAAGAGGTCTGGTCCCACCCAGAGCTTACCAGAAAGGAGGGGCTGCTCCCCAGGAGAGGGCTGGGGACTCAGCAGAGGGCGACCCAGCAACAGGACCAGCCTGCAGCCAAGGGCAGGAAGCCCACCGCGCGCTGGGGCTGGCCGGCTGCGCATGCGCAGGAGGAACCACAGAGACTGGGGGACAGGGTAGCAGGATAAGGGGGAGCTGCAGTGCAGAGCCGTCAGAAAAGGATCTGAAGTTCGGGAGCGTGCTGCGCAGGATCTTTACACGCTTCAGGAACGGAGGCTGAAGACAGCGCTGCCCCGGCGAGCTTTGCTTAGTTCGCAGCTGAAAGGCTTTGGCCCCAACTCCCGTCCGCCCTTGGTCCAGTAACCCCCTGGTGTTGTTTTCCATCACTGAATGGGGGAGCAGGGCAGCCAGGGTTATATGCAGTGCCTCTCTTGCTCTGACATCTAGGGGTGTGGCTGGCACCTCCTTGGGCCCACAGTCTTCGCAGGCACCAGCTGCGGAGGCGCTGTCCATCCTGGCAGGGTGGGAGGCTGCTGCTGGGAGGGGCAGTGCTGGGCTCCCCATGTCTGCTCGATCGGGGCTCATGAGTCAGCAGCGGCCGAGGGCCAGCCTGAGAACAAGGAATTCCTTGAGCACTGTGAGCAGGAATGGGGGGAGAACCCCAGAATCCCGGACAGTGACTTTGGCCCTGAGGGACACAGAAAGGGGATACACATTCCCCCAGATCCTTGCATGTACCACCTGTCACCGTCCTGGCAGGGGGCCAATGAGGGGCTCATCCCCCCTTCCAGGCCAGGAGACAGAGGCAGGAAACCTGTCTCCAGGAGGTTACACGGTGGCCGCAGCTGCCCTCCCCCGGGACACACTCAGGCCTGTGGGCAGACGCCAAGTAGAGGTGACCCAATGACCCCAAGTATGAAAGGGAGGCACCTGGCACAGGGCCTGGCAGATAAGAGGGTGCCACCACGAGAAGGCCCCGAGGCCTTGATGGGCGGGCGCCCCAGAGGCTTATTCCTTTCTAGGAGGTGCTTCTACCCCAGCCTAGGCGAGAAGGGACTGTTAGGGACCAGTGGAAGGAGGCAGGCCCTTTAAGAGGAGCTGCCACATCCCCAAGAAGTAAAAATAGTCTGGAAGATTAAAACCTGAGGTCAACCATGCGATGCCACACACCTGTAATGCCCCGGCTTTGGGAGGCGGGAGGGCAGGAGGCTGGAAGTTTGAGCCCAGCCTGGCCAATTTAGTCATTTATCAAAACCCTGCCTGAAGAAAAGAAAAAGAAGGAAAGAGAAAAAGAAAAGAAACCTGCAGATGATGTGAACACCCTGGGTTCCATCTCCCCTACAAAAACAAACAAAACAAAAGAACCCACGGTCCAGAAAGACCTTAATTACCTATTTAGTACCATGGAGCTGAGTTCCACCCTGCGTAACCTCGATGCAGACAGGAGAGCAGGATTTCACCTGACCAGCTGCAGATGGGGAGACTGAGGCAACAGGAAGCTAAGGCTTCACCAGAAGAGCAGGGTGCATAGCAGGGCCAGAAGCAGAACCAGGTCTTCAGTTTGGGGGGAGCAGCACTTGCTGAGGACCTGTGCCCATGCCAGGGCTGCTCTCCAGCTGAGTCAGGAGACCCAGAGGAGGAGACCGCAGTCCCTCATTCCTGGGCCAGGGAAGTAGGGATGCACAGCTCCTCCTGGACTCCCCTGAAATGGCTAGCCACTTAGGGCTAGGGTTGGGGTTAAGGGACCCCACGAAGTGGGGCAGGGAGGGCACAGAACGGCAGAGCCAGGCTGGGCCCCACCTACCCCAGACCTGAGGTTTTGGGGAGGCCCCACAGGAAGAAGTGAAGCTTCTGTGGTTGCTTCCCCAGGCAGCCACTGGGGAAGGAGCAGAGGAGGGGGCTGCCTGGAAGCCACCCACCCCCTCTCCTCCTGTGTCCAAGGCTTCGGGCTCGGGAGGATCGGGCTGCAGGATGGATCTGGGAGGAAGAGCAGGGCTGCCAGGCCAGCCTGACCCTCAGCTGGGATTCACTGCAGCCTGCTGCTGCTGCCTCTCTGATGCTGGAAGACTCAGACAGGAGAGAAGAGCACATCCCTTCCCGGCCCCGCCCTCCCTGGTTCCCATCCACACTGAGCTACATCTTCAAGTCTTTTTATTTTTTTTATTTTGAAAGAAGGTCACACTGAGTTGCCTAGGCTGAGCTCACACTTACAATCCTCCTGCCTCAGCCTCCCAGAGTGTTGCGATTACAAGCATGTGCTACCACACCCGGCTTGTGCCACTTCTTACTTAGATTCATGGTCAGATTACTTGAGAGCAGAGACCACGAAGGGTGCATCCGTCTCCCAACCCCAAGGCAGCCCAGGGTCAGGCACAGAGAATTTCTGTGGGACCGACGGCAAAGTAAGGATGGGCCTGACCTCAGACTGGGGGAAGGTGATGGGTGTGGACTGTGGACGGGCTACACTGCCAGGACCCCAGTCCTTCTGGTAGGGCCTACCTTGGGCCACCTTCCAGGCCTGACCTCTCAAATGCGCACAGGAAATCAGACTGAGCTCTGAAGAGTCGCAGCAGGCCTCCAAGGGGGGGCCATGCCAGACACTCCTGCCAGGCCAGCAGCCTCGCCTGGCACCCTGCCTGGTCTTTCTTTAGCCTCAGCAAGCAGTGCAGCACCAGCCTCGGTCACTGTTCCTGCTTCCGGGGGCGGCCCGGGTGGGGCTGGGGCTTGCGGTAACCGGTCCCTAGGCTTCTGCAGAGGTCCACAGAACAGTCACGCCCTGGCACTGCCAGGGAGCAGCCTCTCCTACACCCTCGGATCCCTCAAGGGCTCTGCACCCTCCAGCTATCCCTCTGGGCACCCTACCCCAGCCCAGGGCTCAGCCTCCTGGCCCCAGGCCCCTTCCCGCCAACTCCTAGGCCTAGCTCATCCTCAAACTATTTTCCACTGGCTTCCCCCAATCTCTGCCACCGCTTAAGTTTTTTTTTTTTTTTTTTTAGGTTGGGCGGGAGGGATGGCGAATGGGAGGTGGGGCTTGAGTAGGGGGGAGTGAGGGGGCGTGCCTAAGGGGAGGGTCTCGCCATTCTGATTGGTCACCTTGGCTCCAGAACAGGCTTCAAAATTCCATTGCTCCGCCTGCGGTGGCCCCCAGCCCTATCCTGACTTGCAATTGGCTGAGTTTCCAGGGGGTGGGACTTACCGGAGTATGGTCCAGTTAAAAGGGTGGGAGCGGCCGGCCCCATCTCTAGGGTGGAGTCCTCAGACAGCTGGTGCAGCAGTCCCTGGAACATCTTCTTGGCCTCAGTCATGGCTTGTGTAAGTGTAGAGACCCCACCCCAAAGCTCAGGGGACAGGGCGGGAGCAGATGGCCAGGGGAGAGGAGACAGCGCCCGAGCTGGGTTCCAGTCCATGCTATGTAGCATGGGACAAGTGCCTTCTCTTTCCTGATCCTCAGTGGCACATCTGTAAAATGGGGGTGGGGGCCATGGTCTCCCAAACTTTCTCTAGCTTAGGAATTTTCTAGATTCCTCCAGAGGCTGACAGCACAGTTACACTGCAGGGTCCGACATTCTGCAGTTCAGCAGCTGTCTGCCAAGTGGAAGTGGCAAGGGTGTGGCCAACGGGAGGGGGGCACTTCGGCCCAGGTCACTATCTCTTCCCCTCGTCCACGACACAGAGCCTCCTGTCCCCTCCCCCCTGCAGCTGTCCCCGCTCTCAGGACCAGGGCCAAGTCACCAGAGGGCTCCAAGAAGTGGCTTGGGCTTCCTGGGTTAGGGGTGCAGGGCGGTTCTGTCTAGACCAGTGGGGCCTAGGCCCAACGAGGAATCGAGAGGATGGGGAGGCAAGTGCCTCTCACGGGCCCCCAGGGAAACTGTTCTAGTTTCTGGCAGAAGGAACCCTGCACAGTTAGCTCCTGTCCACCGCGTGGGCCAGAGGCTGGCAGGGCGGTGTGCCGGTCCTGCTGGCTTGTTCATCCTAAACCACCCTGGCTGAAGCCCTGACCTCTGGCTGCTCCCCCTCGTGCAGAGGGCCCTGACTGTGTCCCTCAGCGCGTCCTCTCCAGCCCCTGCGCCTGTCTGAGAGAGGGTTTGAAAGGACTGGGTGAGGTCCCAGGCCACTTAGACTTACAGACCAGGGAAGGGGCAAAGGGTTGCCCATGCCCAGGAGGTCCTTTCCATCTGCAAAAAGAGGCCATAGTGCACTGGACCCCGCCCCCCAGGCATTGCGAGTCAGAATTCCCAAGCAGATGGACAAAACTGGCTTCACCAGAGCTCAACTTCTAGAACGGTTCTCCTCTTTCACACTGAAACAGATATTGCTGGTAACAGGGACTTTCCCAGGCCCTCCGCAATAATCAAAGGCTAGATCTTGCACCTCGTCCTGTTCCCACCTCCCTCGCCTGGTCTGAGGACCCGGGGTTCAATTTACCTAACTCCCACTCGCCGCCACCCCGGGACAGGCCAAGGTCTCGTCCTCCTAACCCAGGTGGGCGGACGGGTCTCGTTTGCGCAGGGTCTGGTCGCCAGCAACCTGAACCTCAAGCCTGGGGAGTGCCTCCGAGTGCGGGGCGAGGTGGCCCCCGAAGCCAAGAGGTGAGGGCCGGGAGACAGGGGCGGGGCTGGAGGAGGGACAGGGGGGCTAGAAAGCGCTTGGCCACCGAACCCTGGACCTCGACGCGGGGAGGGGGCTAGTGGCCAGCTGCAGATGCTGCGTTTTCTGAGTGAGTCATTTCCTGAGCTGGCCCTGGGCGCCCCCACCACTGTCGTCTCCTCCCTCCATGCTTAAACCGAACCAGCTGCAGCCCCGTGGGCCACCTAGGTTCGCCCCTCCCCTTCCGGCTGGGGGCGGTGCCGAACCTGGGGTGGGGGGAAGGGGCGTGGCCCTGTCCCCCATCCCAATCCGATCAGTCTCCAGGTTCCTTCAACCAGCTGGCCTGGTGTCTTGGCCCCCACGTGACCTTGGATGAGTCAACCAACCTCACGAGCCTCAGTTTCTTAATATGCAGAGCTGTTATGCGAAGGAAATGAGAGGTGTTTGGTCACGAGGTTGCTGATGGATGATCCGCTGGTCATTACCAGCCGCTGACATTTCCTTACGAACCCTCGGAGGTGGGAATTGCTGTTAGCTCCACTCCACAGTTAATATTATTATTCTTTCCTTCTTCCCACAATGACTGAGCAGCCGCTGTGTGGCCATCTGGGCACCAGGAATTCAGAAATGTACTAGAGACACAGTCAGGGGTGGTGGCACAAGGCTGTAATCTCAGTTCTCTGAAGGCTGAGGCAAGAGGATCGCCACAAATTTGAGGGCGGCCTGGGCTTAAAAAAAAACAAACAAACAAACTCAGGACCCCCTCCCCTGACAGAGGTTACCATCTGGAGGGGGTCCTGACTTTGACCAAAGGAGCTAGGACGCAAGCTAATACATATGTAGGATGGTCGAGCACAGCAAGACCCTTCTGCATGCTTCCTGTGTAATCCAGATGATACAGGTGGGGAAACTGAGGCCCAGAGAGGGCAGGAACTAGAATCCAGGCTTCTAGTCACCTGTCGATGAGCGACCCCGCAAGGTGCACTCCGCTTAGGGTGTCCCGGGTGGCAGACTGGTCCACTCGAGGCCTGGAGCTGGCGGGGTTGCCCTTAACCCCAACCGTCCCTCCTAGCTTCGTGCTGAACCTGGGCAAAGACAGCAACAACCTGTGCCTACACTTCAACCCTCGCTTCAGCGCGCACGGGGACACCAACACCATCGTGTGCAACAGCAAGGACGGCGGCGCCTGGGGGACAGAGCATCGTGAGCCCGCCTTCCCCTTCCAGCCCGGGAGCGTGGTGGAGGTGGGCTGGGCCTGGAGGTGGGCGGGCACACGGCGGGTGGGGTGGAGGGGGAGCTGCGTTCAGGGTTTGGAGACTTCCCCATTGCACCCGATGTGATCACATGAGTGTCCTCTCTCCGAACTGATGACCACACCCGCCCCTTCCCAGCGAGCTCACTGTCCCCTTCCTCCTCCCTTCAGGTCTGCATCTCCTTTGACAAGACTGACCTGACCATCACACTGCCCGATGGACACCAATTCAAGTTCCCCAACCGTCTCAACCTGGAGGCCATCAACTACTTGGCAGCTGATGGTGACTTCAAGATCAAGTGTATGGCCTTTGAGTGAAGCCACCCAGCCTATGTCCCCCAATAAAGGCAGCTGCCTCTTGGCCCCCTGAACCAGCCTCTGTGTGCATGTATGTGTGTGCATGTGAGAACGTTCAGGCACATGGTAGCTGGAACCAGCCTATGCGTTTCTTTTTTCTTGCAGTGCTGGGGAAGAATCCCACAGACAGACACTTTATTTTTTGGTAGTAGGACTCAAATCAGGACCTCATGCTTGCCAGGCAGGCGCTGTACCACAGAACTAAATCCCCAGCCCTTCTTTAGCGAAAAGTTTAAAAGATCTGGAATCAGGCAAGGGGCTCCTATCTATGTGGTGTTGTGCATGTTAACTGACCTCCTAGAGCCTCAGTTCCTAGGGTTGCTGTGGAGTTACATGAGATGTTACAAGCACGGGTGCTTGTCTGTAATCCCAGCACTCAGCAGGCTGAGGTAGGAGGGTCATGAGTTTGAGGCCAGTTCGGACTACATAGTGAGCTTAAGACCTGCCAGGAGTATATAGCAAGACCCTGTCTCAACACAAAAAAGGATCGTCACATGAAAGAGGCCAAGTTCAGTGCCTGTCACATGGTAAATGTTCAGGGAATGGATAATGGTTTTCCCACTGTTTTTTGTTTTTGTTTTTGTTTTTTTTTGCAGGTTTTTTCTTTTCTTTTCTTTTCTTTTTTTTTTTTTGTTTTTTTTTTTGGTTCTGGGGATTGAACTCATGACCTCACACTTACCAGGCAAGCACTTGAGCTGCTGAGCTAAATCCCCGGCCCTCCACTGCTTTTCTTTTCTTATTATTATTATTTTTTTTAACAGGATCCCACTATGTAGCCCGGATGGCTTTGAACTCAGTGATTTTCCTGCCTCAGCCTCCCAGTGCTGGGGTCACAGGTGTACACCACAGTTACTGGCTCCCTGCTTATTTTATGGTTAGGGCTAAGTTATTTAGAAATATCATAGGCTGTCGGATAGGTCAGGGCAGCAGACAACTGTTTCTGGGGGCACACTTGCTGCAGGCCAGGCTTCAAGGATCAGGAGGACCAACTCACCCTACAGGCCCCCTAGGGATGAACAGCAGTGACTGAATTCTAACTAGGCATTGATCACCTTGGGGTGGGGGCCGACCTCCCTAACCCTCTCCTCCCAGCAAACACACGCTCGGTATCTAACTTGCTTCCCAATGTGACCTTTATATAATCCCCTAAGTAACTACACGCTGTAAACTTATTGGTTGGCCGTAGTTTTCCTCACACCCATCCTGTGATTTTCTATTGGATCTACATTACCTAAGAGATAATACTTGTAATCTTACTGGCTGATTATAGTTCTGTCCCACCTTGAACTGGCTTTGCTCAATAAACACTTTAAATTTTTTTTTTTTTTTGGTCTTTTTCGTTTTTATCGGTACCAGGGATCGAACTCACGACTGCCTGCTTGCAAGGCAGGCGCTTATGCCGCTGAGCTAAATCCCCAGCCCCAATAAACACTTTAGAGAAGTGGGGTTGCCTGGAAACCCACTCTATAGGCCTGTCTCTGTCTCTTAGAAGGTTTTCTTTCTCTCAAATTTCTCCTACCCTGAACCTACATTTCCTCTAGAATTCATTCCTTGATTTTAGAGAGCACAGGCGTTGGGACATCTAGCAGGTTGGGAATTACATTTCCCTTGTGTGGTTTGGCGGTCCTATATCAGGCGCCCTATACCAATTTCTCCAGTGTGAAGGTAAGTGGGCTCTGGGTGACATAATAAGTCCTAATGGCAGATATGGTGGTACATGCCTGTAATTCTAACATTTTGGGAGGCTGAGGCAGGAGGATGGCAAGTTTGAACCCAGTCTAGGCAATCTGGACATTTACTGAAACTGTTTTTTGTTTGTTTGTTTATTTTGTTTTGTTTTGTTTTTGATACCAGGGATTGAACTCACAACCTCACGCTTGCCAAGCAGGTGGTGCTTATGTTGCTGAGCTAAATCCCTGGCCCCAAAACTGTTTTAAAAGAAAAAAATAAAAGGGTCTGGGCATGTAGCTTAGTGTGATGGTCCTGGGGGGGGGGGGACACACCAAAACACTCCAGACTCAGCTAAGCCTGAAGGGAGCCCCCCAGACCCCAGATTCGTGGCTGCAGGACATGTAGCCCCTTCCCTGGGAATTAAGTGTGACCAGGTGGCTGGTCTGACAGCTTCTGGAGCTGTGGTCCCCTCACCTGGGTGCTGGGCACACAGGAATTGGTGACAGGCCTGGGCCCCATGGCCACCCTTCCCTCCCCGCTTTTCCTATGGTGTGAGGAGCCTGGAGCCCTACTGAGTCAGCCCAGCAAGAACCAGCGGGAGAGGCCACCTCACTGCAGGCCCGGCCTCAGAGCCCTGGAGGGAGGTATCCTGGGAGGAGTCCTCTGTCTGAACCCTGCAAAGTCTCCTAAGGCACGCTGGGTGTGGAGCTCGGGAAGCTTCCCTCTCCGGGACATCGGTACTGGGGCGGGCCCTTGGCGGCTCCTACACCCCCAGCTTCAGTTTCACTATCCAAAAACGGAATTATCGCTGTGTCCGTGGGTCCCCTGGAGTTCTACGAGAAGGCCGAAGAGGATGGAGCGCACACATTGAAAAAGGTCCCATGAGCCAAATGGGGCACCCTAGCGGCCACCCAGAGAGCAACAGCTTTAGCAATCTGGCTGCAGAGGGCCCCCTCTGCTGGACATCCGAGGAAGTGTTTCCTAGGCTTTTTCCACTCAGTTAACCCGCACTGATTCTCCTTAGGGTGGCTGAGCACTGTACTTCCGGGTCTGGACCACAGGAGCAAGAAGGAGAAGTCCACTGCATTTAAACTCCTGGGTGTATCTGGGCCAGTTACTCAACATCTCTGAGCCTCAATTTCCTGCCTGTCAAACTGAGTTAATACAGTACCAGTATCTACCCTGCGGAGTTGTGAAGATAAGCTGAGGGACTGAAGCCCACAGAGGTTTTGTAATGCTGGCTCTCACCAGTCCTTTTGTTTTGTTTGAGATAGGGTCAGTCTACATGACCTTGTGCCTAACAGGTTTCAGCCACTGTGCTAAATCCCCGGCTGGTCTTGAGCCTCATTTTGTAGCTCAGATTGGCCTCACAGTGATCCTCCTGCCTCAGCCTCCCGAGTACTGGGATTACAGGTGTGTGTCACCATGCCTGGCTGTTGTGATTCTTTTTCCTTTTTATCGGTACCGGGGATCGAACTCACGGCTGCCTGCTTGCAAGGTAGGCGCTTATGCCGCTGAGCTAAACCCCCAGCCCCTGAAAAGCAGATTTCTAGCTGGGTATGGACTACAGAACAGACCGTCTCATGGGAAAAATATCAAGAGAGACAGATAGAGGCAGGTTTCTGCTTTATCCAGTCCAGCAGCAGAGCCTTTTTTTTTTTTTTAAACTTTTTTTCGGTACCAGGGATCCAACTCACGACCGCCTGCTTGCAAGGCAGGTGCTTATGCCGCTGCGCTAAATCCTCAGCCCCGAGCCTTTGTTTTTTACCACATATCACCTAGGTGCCTAGTGGCCCGGGAGCCTAGCGGCCTAGTGCAGCCCCTTTAAAAGGCGGGGCCTGGCAGCGGAACTATAGGGCAATGCCAAGAAGGTGTGCTCGGAAGGCTGTTAACGCTACATCCGGAAGTTTCTTCGGCAATCGGAAGCCGCACTGCTAGAAGCCTCGCTACTATGGGCCGGAACAAGAAGAAAAAACGAGACGGTGACGACCGGCGGCCCCGGCTCGTCCTCAGCTTCGATGAAGAGAAGCGGCGGTGAGTGGCAAAGCCAAGCGGGACCCCCCCCCCGGGCCGCCCAGCAAAGCCGAGGCCAGACTCGAGTCGCGCGCTGGCACCAAGGTCTCTTCGGCCCCGCCCCTTGGGCCTGACCTCCCAGACTCCCCTGCCCGGCTGGGAGCGTCGCGGGCGCTGGGGTCGCGCGTCACGCCCGGCGCCCCCAACACGGAGCAGTGGCTTGGGCCAGCCCAGCTCAGCCTGGTCGTCGGCCCGTTAGATAGCAGACTGTCAGCCTTCGCATTAGAGTGGCTTACGTTCATTCATTCACCTGTGAGACTCCACTCGGGCTCCCGCGGTCCTTTGGGCCCGGAACCACTGAGCCTGGGCGTTTCACATGACAAATGTCAGCGTATCTGCGAAAAGCCCGTTGCTGGGCGCCAGAACCAAAAGGAAACAGCAGCGCGAGATGAAAAGTGGCACAGATCAGATGATGGGGAGAGAGCTAAATTCTTAGGCATCACCAGGAAATTCCCAGGTGACACTAATGGGCCCCACAGCTGCATGCAGGGGCAGGTGTCCTGGGGAAATGGATCTTGGTCCAGCGGAGGATTTTGGAGGCCCGGGTGACAGCGTTCTTGAAAGTCCTGCCAGAAGTGGTCTAATCCCTGAGTAATGAAATGTGACAGTTTAAAAGAAGACATTACCAGCCCGGTGTGTCTCCCGCTTGGCCTAGTTTGAAGTGAGAGTGTGCAGTGGGGAGAGACAGCATCTTTCTCTTTTTCCTACACTGACATTGTTATGTGCCCTGTAGTATGGCCACATCACTGTGTACTGTCCAGTCTGTGGCTGTGGCATCGAGGTTAGTGTATGTGTATGCTAAGATTTGAGCCCAGTCACCTAACAACTTGTTCCACAACCTGTGTCCTTGTATTTAACATATGTCAGACCTATGTGTGGTGGCACAAACCCGTAACCCCAGCGTTGGGCAGGCTGACAAAGGAGGGTCGATTCAAGTTCTAGGCCACCTGGGCCTTGTAGTGAGTCCCTGAGTAAGCAAGCCTGACCTTGGGCAAGGAATGTTCTGTAAAAAAGCCTGATACCTGCTCATCATGAGGGTTAAGTGAGTTGATACCTGGGACGAAGAGCGGCACTGGGTGCTTTTCCCTCCCAGAGTGAGTGCTCCCTTTCCTGGGTCTGCTGCCAACTCCCCTTCCTTCCCATAGGGAGTACCTGACCGGCTTCCACAAGCGGAAGGTAGAGCGGAGGAAGGTGGCCATCGAGGAGATTAAGCAGCGGCTGAAGGAGGAGCAGAAGAAGCTCCGGGAGGAGGTGTGGGGGGAAGGTGAGGGTGGTCTCACCCACTGTGGAGCGGAGCAGTGGCACCGCCTGGACTGGGCTCGACGCCAGACTCACTGTGTTTCCTTCCTGTGTGTCTCCAGCGCCACCAGGAATACTTAAAGATGCTGGCGGAGAGAGAGGAGGCCCTGGGTGAGTCCCCTCCTTGGCCTTGGGAGTGGGAGGGGAGAGTGGGACTTCCTTGGTGACTGGGTGACCAGGAGCACCTCTAAGTACAAGCGGATGGGAAGGCACAGGAGACCCAGACTTCACGGTGAATGGGGCCTGTACACAGAGCTGTTTCCTTTCTTCTTTTCTTTTTCTTTCAGTATTGGGGATGGAATCTAGGGCCTTCATACTGGCCTACATCCCTCCTCCTTTTATTTATTTTTTATTCTGAGACAGAGCCTCACTAAATTGCCCAGGTTGGCAATCCTCTCACTTCAGCCTCCCAGTGTGGAGATTATAGGTGTGCACCACCACACTCAGCTTTAGGTGTGGTTTTGTTTTGTTTTGTTGCAATTGTGGGAATTAAAACTAGGGTGTTCACACTGAGCTACATCCTTAGCCTTTTTTTTTTTTTTTTTTTGTCTTTTTGCTTTTTATTGGTACTGGGGATTGAACTCACGACCGCTTACTTGCAAGGCAGGCGCTTATGCCGCTGAGCTAAATCCCCAGCCCCTCCTTAGCCTTTTTTTTTCTTAGTTTTGAAATAGGGTTTCACTAAGTTGCCAAATTTCTCGGTTGGACTCAAGCTAGAGATCCTCCTGCCTCAGCTTTCCAAGTATCTAGCTGGGATTACAGCTGGGTACCACTATACCTAGCTAGAGAGCTCAGTTTTAGGAGGACTAAAAGGTGCACTAAGGATAGAATTCAGGGAGGCATCAGCTTCTGGGATTACTCAGTTTGCCCTCCAAGGCTGGGAGGAGACTGGAGCCTGGCTGCTTGTTTGGGGGCTGAGGCTCGGTCTCTGCCCGCACTACAGAGGAAGCAGATGAGCTGGACCAGCTGGTGACGGCCAAGACTGAGTCAGTGCAGTATGACCACCCCAACCACACGGTTACCGTGACCACCATCAGCGATCTGGACCTCTCAGGGGCCCGCCTGCTTGGGTTGCCGCAGCCTGAGGTGGGTCCCAGTCCTCCCCCTGGGGCAGAGGGGACACACGCTTCTCGGGCTTCTCTGTGCTGTCCCCACTGTATCGAATTGCAGCATAGAGGGCTCTTTCCCTTCTGGCCCTGTCAGTCCCTGAACCCCGGGGCTGCGCAGCCTGGATTGCTGCTGAGCACGGGGACGCTTCCTCACCCCGCTGCCTCGCTGTCTCCTGCAGTAAGGCAGTCAGGCGGGGGCTGCTGGTGGCAGCTCCTGCTTTGTGACATTGCTGTGGGGGTGAAGTGGCGAACCATGTACTCACGTAGCACCAGGCCCAGCACACAGTAAGCGCTCAGCAAAAGATCGCTGTTGATCGTGGTGCTTCTGTTGTGGGGTACGCAGCAGTAACTCGGCGCCCTCTGTGCACTGCCAGTGAATTTGCAACCTGTGGGATGAAGTCACTGAGAGCCTGCCATTGACATCAAAAGGAGAAAAAAAAAATAGAATCGAAAAGCATCACACTCAGTATAGTAACGTGGTTTCATGAAGCGATCGTGTGCGTGTGTGTGCAGGAGTGTCAAACCCGGATGCTGCACACTGTGCTACATCCCCAGCCGCTTCTCTGTCTTTTTATGTCGAGGCAGAGTCACTAAGCTGCTGTTTCCTGGACCGGGCTGGAACTCGCAGTCCTCCCATTTCGGCCTCCCCAGTGCTGGGATTGCAGGCCTGTGCTACAGCTTCCAGCTTCCTTCCACGTCTCTTTTTTTCTGTATTTTTACCAGTACCAGGGATCGAACTCACAGGCGCTTATGCCGCTGAGCTAATTCCCCAGCCCCCCACATCTCTTTTGGGGCTGTCTGGTGTGTGTGTGTTTATCAGTGTGTATGTCTGCCCCCCAATACCTGTGCAAGATTGGTTCCAGGACCTCCTTAGATATGGAAATCTGTGGCTGCTGGAGTCCCCCATGTAAAATGGGGCAGGATTTATGGCAACCCATGTGAGGCCTCCCATATAGTTGAAATCAGGTCTGGGTTACCTGTGACACCTAAGGCAGTGTAAACAGTGTGTGACTTTGTTGTTGTTGTTTGTTTTGTTTTGAGACAGGGTCTCACTGTGTAGTTCAGGGTGACTCTGAACTCTGTATGTAGTCCAGGTTGCCCTTCAACTTGTGGCAACACTCCTGCCTCAGCCTCCTGATTGCTGGGGGTTCAGGTGTGTGGCCCCATCACAGACCATTGTCACACTGTGTCCTTAGGGAGTAGAGACACGGGGCTGCAGAGGTGGTGCCCATGGGACGGCACTCTCCCGAGTGTTTTCCATCTGACGGGTTGAATCCGACTGCCGCATCAGGAGGGCCACAAGTGGGGGCGCACAGAGAAAGCAGTTTCCTCCCTGGCTGCAGGGGCTTCTACCCTGAAACCACTGCCTCCCCATCCCGCACACGACAGTCCACGTCATGCTGCCCTTCTTCAAAGTCACGCCTTGCTGCTGTCTGTCTGCTGTGAAGTGCGAGCTAGGGAGAGGCAGGAGGTCCGGAGGCAGCGCGGTCCCCTCGGTGACACTCGCTGTAGGGCGGACACAGGATTCTTTGGCCCATGAGCTCCTGCAGCCCCAGCCCAGGCCCCATCTGCCCTATGTGACTGTTCTTGTCCTGTGCTTCCCTAGCAAGGGGCTGAGGACCAGTCCAAGGAGGAGGCGACATCTGTGGAAAAGCCAACCAAGGCCTTACCCAAGAAGTCCAAAGACCCCCTGCTGTCTCAGCGGTGAGCCCTGCCCGTCACCTCCTGGAGTCCTTCCTCAGGGCTGCCATTGCCACCCAGGCCAGTGGAGCCACTTTCTGCTGGGCCCCCCGGGCTGGCAGGCTTTCTAGACCAGTTTTGGGGGCCCAGTTTGGAGTGAATCTAGTCTTTGGGATCTGACTTCCCTTCCATGAGCCTTGCAGCCATTTACCCACCACCCAGCCTCCCCCCAGCTGGCTTCCCTGGGGTAAGCCGAGGCCTGGTCTCACCAGCCTCTACCCTCCCGCAGGATCTCCAACCTCACAGCATCCCTGCACGCGCACAGCCGCAAAAAGGCAAAGAGGAGACGTCCCCGGCGGGCCCAGGACTCCATGAAGAAGCCCCCTAGAGCCACCCGTACCAGCAAGACCCAGCGCCGCCGTCTGACAGGCCGGACACGTCACAGTGGGGAGTGAGCCCCAAGGCCCGGGGCTGTCGCAGCGTGGCTGTCCCTGTAACCCAGCCACATGAGCTGGTGACTCCGTGGTCCGAGCCTGGGAAACCAGGACCTCTTGGTCGCAGACTGCTGGCCCTCCACGCTCAGGGCCATCTGGAGAGAACCCGCAGAGCCAGCTGGTTGTCTCCCTGGGGTTCCTTGCCAGGGGCATGTCCTATGTGCACATACGTGGTTTTTCTGTCCTTGCCTTGAGCCTCTGGGCTGAGGGTTCATCCTCTGTCGTCCCCAGAAGTTTCCCTGTGGGGACAGTGAGGGTGTGTTGGGACCCAGCGAGCACAGAACGCACCCCTCTGAGCCTCCCCTCACAGCTTGCCCTCCTGTCCCTTCTGTCCCTGCTGCTCTTTGTTCTCTGCTTAGGGTCAGGAGGATGACAGAGGCTGAGGTGAGACCCTGGGCAGCGCCCACCTCCCGCAGCACCGGCACTCTCCTTGACTCTCCAGTGTCAGTTAGGGACGCTGGGGCTGTCGTGTTTATTAAACCTCAGCCACCCCTCCCTTCTGTGCGTCATTGATTCTTCTCACTCCCGGCAGAGAGTGCTACCAATGTGGCCCATCCTGGGCTTGGGTGGTGGCATTCGAGCCCTGTGGAGACCTGGGCTCCTCTGCCAGGAGTGCCCTCGCTCCCTGGCCTGCACCTGGTGCTTCCTTCTTGTCTGGGACTGAGGTTGGGCCTGCAGGAGGGTGAGGTAGAGCTGCGTACCGTGTCCAGGAGTTCTCAGGCTGACTGGTGAGCGCTTAACGGCCCAGAGCTGGGAAGGCTGCAGGCTTGGAGAAGGTCTTTAGTGCCTTTTTTTTTTTTTGGTGCTGGAGGTCAAACTGATGACCTCACACTACTAGGCAGGCACTGTGCCGCTGAGCTGTATCCCAGCTAGTTCATTCTTCTGTGCCGTATTTGATGTGTGGCTTCTGCCTCACAGGCCAAGATGGCTGCTTGAGCTACAGCCATCAGATCTGCATTTCAGTCAGGAAGACAGAATGAAGAAGGATATGATACTCCTTTTTTTTTTTTTTTTTTTAAGAAAAGCAAACAAGGGGTCAAGGATTTAGCTCAATGGCGTAAGCATCCACCTTGCAAGTGTGCAGTCATGAGTTCGATCCCCGGTACCAAAAAAAAAAAGACAAAATGAAAACAATAACAGCAGTATTAGCTATACAGGTTTCAAAACATAAGAATTTAACAATGGTTGTTATATTACATATTGTTATCTTCAAATAGTTGCTCAGGTTACCAGATAAAGAAATATTGGGCCAGAGATTTAGCTCAGCAGCTCAAGTGCCAACCTGGAAGTGTGAGGTCATGAGTTCGTGGTCCCCGGTAACCATAAAAAAAAAAAAAAAAGCCCCTATAGGAATAAAACAGTAAAACAGAACAAAATATGATTTCAAAAACAAGACAGAAGGAAATCCCCCACAACTGCTATAATGTATATTGTTAGCCTCCAAATAGATGCTCATACTACCAGCTTTAGGCCAGCAAAGTCAAACATGCCTTCTATTTTTTTTTTTTTTTTTTTTTTGTCTTTTTCCTTTTAATCGGTACCAGGGATTGAACTCACGACTGTCTGCTTGCAAGGCAGGCGCTTATGCCGCTGAGCTAAATCCCCAGCCCATGCCTTCTATTTTTAAATTTCATTTATTTGAAATGAAGGTCTCACTGAAGGTTCAGGCTGGCCTTGAACTCATCCTCCTACTATAGTCTTGATTGCTGGGATTACACCACGCCCAGCATGACTCTCCTTGTAAAAACCCTTGATGCTCGTCATGTTCTGTGGCCAAGCAGGAGCCAAAGGCAGAGGGCCCCAAGGGGATTCCTAGCTGCAAGAGAACCTGGCAGCTCCAGGGTATTCTGGGAAACAAGCACCCGGATGAAAATTGGAGATTGTGTTGCTACCCAGGGGGAGCAGGTGTATCAGAATGTGGGCAGCACATTCTCCCCAACATCCAAATACGTAAGGGGCTCCAGTGGTGAGGATCTGAAGGCACCAGGGATGGCCAGGAGCCATGGCTTCCTGGAGCTGGGCTTTGCCAAGAGTAAGCACTTCCTTCCTGCTGACCGTCAGGGCAGGACCTGGAGGACTCAGAGTTCCTGTTGGGGGTGCCCTTCCACCATCCTCCTTATGGCCCCAGGGACCTCCAAGGGCTCAGTGCTCCTGCGACCTTTCTTTTGGACAGGCTGCTCTGGTGAGGACTCTTGCTTCATCGTCTGGAGAGCCCTTCACATGCTGCCTTCCCCTCTCCCTGTATGGTGATTGGAATGAGAGCCCTCAAATAGAGCTACAATTCCTAGTATTTCTGTTTGATTTTTTTATTTTTAATTTTGAACCAAGGCCTTACTAAATACAGGCTGGGCTTGAACTTCTGATCCTCCTGCCTTAGCCTCTCAGAGTGCTGGGATTACAGGCATGCACCCTGTGCCTGAATTTACCACCTGTTTTGTGACAATATTGATTAAAGCAGCGCCCTCTGCCCACCTCAGAGCCGTTTTGGTGGTGTCCAGTGGATCTCAGCCTTCCTCGTGCCTCTGCCTTAAAGCACCTCCTCCGAGAAGCCTCCCCGGATCCACCACTCAACCTGGCCAGGACGAAGCATTTCTCCCTCTGGGCTCCCATTGTGCTGTAGCTACCTTTTAGAAACAGCATGTTGTGGCCTAGAAGGGCTGTGTCCCCAGCTAGGCTGGACTTGCTGAGAAGTGGGACCTTAGCCATTTCCATGTTCTGTTGCTGTCACAGGCTTGTGTCACCCCATCTTCTCAGCTGACATTGGTTCATCACAGGACCCATCCTGCCTGCTACATGCTCCCAAAAAACCTTCGAAATAATCTAAGGTTTTCTTTTCTTTGAGACAGGGTCTTGCTATGCAGTTCAGGCTGACTGTGAGCTCACTTTGTAGCCCAGGCTGGCTTCAAACTCTCAGCAGTCCTCCTGCTTCAGCCTCCTGAGTGCTGGGCTTTAAGATTTCCTTGGCTGTGATCCCAGAGTCTCTGAATCTGCCTTCTCTTCCTGTTACCTCATCTGACTTGTGCTCCCACTGGAAGCGTCTTCCCTGTCCAGGGAGTGTCACCATTCACCTCTCCCTTTGTCCCAGTCACCCTAGATGGCACATGGTTCTCCCAGATATTCAGGAGGCTGAGGCAGACACCTGGTTTCAAAATAAAATTTAACCCAGACATGGTGGTGCACACCTGGAATCCCAGCACTGTGGAGGTTGAGGCCAGCCTGGGCTGTATAATTCAAGGCCAGTGTAAACTACGTACCAGCCTGTCTTTAAAAAAAAAAAAAAAAGGATGTAGCTCCACGATACAGCTGTTTCTAGTTGTTTCCTTGCAAGCTCAAGGCCTTGAGCTCACTGTAGTACTACAGAAACACCCAGAAAGGACAGCATGCAGCATTTATGAAGCACTTTGGCAGACAGTTGCTTTCTAGCTTACAACAGCATTACAGTTGTGTACATGGGCTCCATTTCATAGAGGAGAAAGAGCCTCAGGAAGTAATGTGGTGGCTGACAAGACAGTGTTCCCACCTCTTACGGTGCAGAAGGACAGACATGCCTTAGGGACCAGGCTTTGAGCAAGGTGATAGCAGGCCAACATCTAGCGGTGGCCCAGAGCAGGGGCTGGGACATCCAGGAAGGACATCCTAGAGGGGAAGACCCTGGACCTGAACCTTGAATGGTGGCTCCAGGCTAGCCAGAGGGGATGAGGGGCAAGGAGAGGACGGGGCAGGAGAGGAGGCACACAGAGCTAGGACCTGGCCTCACCCTGGGGTGGGAGCCCTGGGTGGTGCAGCTGGGGGAGATGAGGTTCAGTGACCATCATTATGGAAGCCTCTCCCTGTGGCATGTGGAGGGACAACCAGGGCACTGGAGGAGCCTCAAGCCATCCACACTTCCCTGGTCCACAAGCTGAAAGACGCCAGTAGCCTGCACATCCCAGGAGGACTTCCTGGAGGGAGCAGCGTGTGAGCCTCGTGAGAGAATGAAAACTGACCCGTGATTTAGCTTTCCAGAGAGCGTCCACCTAGAGCCAAAGGCCTGGACATTAGTTTGCTTTTAGTGTTCCAAAACAATTTGACTTAACAGCAATATTTAAACTTTTTGCAACTGTATAAAAAATATCACTAGCCATGGTGACACAAGTTATAACCCCAGCACTGGGGAGGCTGAGGCAGAAGGATCACTGAGAATTCCAGGCCAGCCTGGTTCCATAGTGAGTTTAAGCCTGGACTGCATAGCAAGACCTCGTCTCAAAAAAAATAAAAATAAAAATAAAAAATCTAGTTCCTCCAGGAAAAGCAAGCCTGGCCACGCTGGCTCTTTGCTTCTCAGGTGAGCTGTGAGCTTGCAGTCAGCCCGGAAGCCCCATTAGATACCTGAGCCTGAGTTTCCCTTTGACAAGACGGAGGCTGAGTCAGGAGGATTGCAAGTCCAAGTGAGAGGCAGATCCTATCTCAAAATAAAAAAAAGGTGCTAGGGGTGGAGCTCAGTGTACAGGCCCCACTCCCACCCCGTACACCAGTGGAGTGAGGTGCTGCTGTGCTGGCTGGCACGGACATACGCGGTAGGAGGCGCTTAAGGTCTGGACGAATCAGGCTGCTGCCACCTAGGTTACTAAGACCCCTTCTGTTCTCAGTATCATCATCTACCCCCAACAAAAGGGGCCTTCTTCCCACTCTGAGTCTCCTGCACCTGTCACCTCTCATCTCCCATTCCGAACTGCTGATGACACCCACTGTCCTCCCGTGCCCCAGGGGCCCATCCCTGAGGCTCCCAGGCCAAGCAGACCTGGGAGCGCCCACCGGGTCCCTCCACTCCCCCACCAGCCCCTGATTGCCTCCTTTGCACCTGCCTGGAGCTGCCATGCTGTGTGTTTGCTTACTGATCCTGCCTGGGCAGGGGTTTCTCCACTGAGATAAACTGTACACAGGCACATGGGACAGACCCTCAGCACACACTGCTGAGCAGGTAGGCGCCCTGTGGACACTTAGCAGCTGGGACTGTCAGAGGAGGCACCCTGAATTGGTTTAGGGTTTCCTGATTGGCAGGGCGCAACACCTTGGGCTTCATAATCACCCAAACACCTGGCTGGTCCCTGGCTCAGAGGGGGCAAGTAAATCTGTAAAGGTCGCACAGCCAGAAGCTGCACAGTGGTGCTGGTGAGAGGGAACAGGAAGCTTGTTGTTCTTGTCCAGAAGCTGTGTTTCCACCAGATCTTCACTGGGCTAGGCTGAGCTGTTCAAGGGTTTGTCTCCCTCACTGGCCAGTGGCCCTCATCCTGGAAGGAGCCACATTTTATCCACATTTCCTTCCCGCATGCCACGCCCATTCACCAAGGACAGGTGAGCGTCAGTAAATAAGCAAGTGAAGGGTCTGAGCCTAAGCTGTGTGACACTGGCAGTTGAGTGACTTCTCTGATCCTAAGTTGCTGTGCGATGGGGATCTTGGAACTTGGTGCTTCAGGTTACTCTTATGTCCTTAGGGTGTGAAGACTTGGAACAGAA